GAGATTTTTTACGATAAGTTCTATGTATATGCTACTGATATTAATTATGTTAATATACATTTTGAAAAAAAAAATTTAAACATTGCTATGCCCCAAACAACTTCCTTAAGTTTAATTCATTCAAAACTCTTAGCTACTTATCAAAATATCTCAGAAAATTCTAAGAAAAAATCAGAAAATGAAGACGCATCCTCGATGCATTCAAGTTCTTTTTACAATAAATCTGAGTTTGATTTGTCGAATATTTCACAATCATTGAAACGCATGCGAGTTGAAGATAATATTACTGACAATGAGTTTCATATGAATGATAATAACTATGTTAATTTTGATCGAAAAGAAAAATTAACAAAAGACAATATAGATCATCAAAAGAAAAGATCTAATAGTTGTGAAAAAGGTAAAGAACCTATTAGTTGATCTCTATGTAGTACTCTAAGATCACATAATTCAACCACAAGTATTACTAAATCTGAAACCAAATAAAATTTTCTTTTTTTTTCTTTTTTTATCACGCATATTTTTCATTTTTTATATACCTAAATCCAAACTTTTTATTTTACTTTTGTTATGAATTTGTTATTTCAAGTATATTTTTTTTCTTTTATAGTTATGAATTCGTATTGATTTTAAATTAGTAGCATGTGATAATTTTTTACAATTTTGTAAATAAATAAATAAATATTTTCTATACTTAGTTAAATCAGGAATTATATAAATTTATAAATAAATAATAATGATAATATCTCATTATTCTGTTATAGTTTCATTTAAGAATTTCTAAAAATAGTTTAAACCCATTCGATACTGGTTTATCTTTAAATTCACAAGTTTATATATATTTATTACTATATAAACACTTATGCAAAATATTTAAATTGGTTCAATCTATTCAAAATTGTGAGCGAAATGATTTTATTTTTTACGCAAGGCTCTTGTCTAATTTATATACATATATGCAAGATCATCCAATCATTTCGTATAAAGAGGACATTTGCATATAGGTATCATTTTATAATATTAAGATTTAATCAGGTCTTTATAAATAATTTTAACCTTTTTTTTACACCTCCTTCCCTAAAAAATTACCTAATTTTTGTTACTTCTCTTACTTCTCTACAAGCTTAATATTGCCTTTCTTAAAGATAAACCAACTAACAATATTAAACCAATTCTACCAAACCAAAAACCTTTTAACTGCTATATCAAAACTACAAATACCAAAATAGCAACACACTTCTTTTGTGTACCAAAATTAACATCTATTGCTACATGCTTATGTGGCAAATATTATACTCAATTTATTGCTAAAAACAACTCTATTTACCAACTTGCTACTATATTTTCTTGAGTAGCTACTAGTAAAAAGCTATTTCAAAAGGGTACAGAAGTTATCTAACAAATTTTAAAAACTTCAAAAAATATTTTACTTTCTTCTACATGCCAATCTTGCTATCATACCTGCCCAAATATACCAAAACTATTACTTGTTATTTTTATAGCAATAAATATCATTCTAATAAGCTCTTAACTTTTATAAACCAAGAAGTTTATCATACCAACTGTGCTACTATTTCAACTTTCTCTCTAGCAACTACAAGTACTCCTACTATCTCAACTGCAATTTCTTCACTTAATGAAGTCAGAAAAAACTTAACTTTTATCTTTCAAGCTTTACAAAAACTACTTCTACCAAAAACCTATCTGCCTCTTCTATCTTATCTAATAATCTAATTTTTTCTTCTAACAACAATATATTCCCTATACTTCCTTCTAACTATCTTCTAATATCAATATAAGCAAATCTTTTCAAACTTTTCAATATTAAACTACTACTAAACCTACTTGCTTAAGTAAAGCTAAAGCCAAAAACAACCTTTTTAACCCTCTCTAATATCTCTTATCTTAACTAAAAATACTAAACCACTTAACTTTACCTTTATAAATCTTGATACTTTCGCTACTAACTTTTCTAATACTATTTCTCAATCTTTTATCACTAACTTTGCTAATACTACTCCTAATGCAGCCCAACTATCTCTAACCAAACCAACTTACCTCAAGCATGATACTTCTAAAGATCTTGACTGGTTTGTTACCTATTCTATCACTAATAATATTGAATTTGTATCTGGCAAAATTGTCAAATCTATCTCTAATAACCTTAATAATCAAAAAAAAACAAAAATTTAGACATACCTTCAACTATCTAATGGCCTTACTTGCTGGCCAATGTTCTCAATTTCTTCTTAATATAATTCTAAATGCAATCTCTTTATTTAACAAAAATGCTATTATCCCTTTTAGTATTATTTTTGATACTTTTAAATTTCTCTTTCTTTAATTCACTACAATACTTTTTACCCAACTTAATTACAAAGAAAATCCTTTTATTACTCGGCTTTATTCTCCTATATATTATTTATAACTGTAAACAAGTTGTTTTCAATCTTGCTTATATTTATATTTTCTTCTAAAATAAATATCAAACAATCTATGCACAAAAATTTATTAAAGATCTTGAAATTAAACCAATCTACTTTAAAATTTGTTACTTATTCAGCAAAGATACATCAAACAAATCCTTATTTCAAATTCACTATGACACTCAATTTAATATTAATGTTGCTTTTAATATTTTCAAACAACAATTTACTAATAATTTTAAAATTCTATCTTTAAAGCCTTTTATTAAAGATCTTGATAAATAGTTTTCTTTTTTTATTCTAATTTACTCTTGACAATTTATTTAACAATCCAAGAAAAATAAAAAAAGAATTTATAACCATATTTGATATAAAGTTGCTACAACACTTGCTACAGAAAACAAAAAACTGCTTCCTCCTACTTATGAAATCTCTATTATTACTACATTTAGTAAACACAGAATGCTATAACTAAAGCAACTCTTTATCATTTTTATATATATAAAGCTGACAAAGAAAACCTATGTACCATCCTTACTACTAACACTGAGCATTTTGAATTTTCCAACCAGCATATTTATTAAAATATTTACCAATATTTTTACAAATACTCACTTTTTTTATTCTTTGCCCCTGCTATATTTTCTACTTTACTTAACCAATTCTTTTCTATGATTCACTCTATACTTAACTTTATAATTTTTAACAAAAATAGAATACATCTAGCCACATTCTCTAAACTTTTCTTTACTCAAACCTTCTCAGATCTGTTAACAAGTTAGAAGATTTATATACTAAACAAAGCAATGTGGAATCTAATATCAATTGCAACACCTTTTACTTCTTCTTCTATTTTAATAAATATCTTAAAGTTGCTGCTAAAAATGATAATATTTATAATTTTTTTTATGATAAATCAATCTATAAACTTATTATGCTAACTACAGATTCTAAATATTTTAGTAAAGTTATTTTTTACTTTGAAATACTCAAAAACCTTAAACAAACCTTTTTCCAGATTCACACTAAATATAATAAAACTTATTTGCCACAAGCAGAACAACTTATTATTAATCACTACAAAATCACTACACCAATCTTATCCAATAATCTATTTTATAACCTATTATCCAAACCCAATAAACCCAATAAATTTGAATCTAAATCCCAATAATCTTTTCTTTAAAGATTTTTTGCAAAAAACATAGAAGCAGCTGCCTCTAAAATAATAATATTCTCTATATTTTGTAGACCATTTTTAGAGAAGAATAATATAAGTAAGTAGGCAGAAAAGCCTATTTACATGGAAGAATTAGGTAATGATAGTTAAACTCAATATATAAAGCAGACTCTAGATTCTTGTATAGCCATGAAAGCTAGGCATATGGTGAGTGATTTTGCAGAAAATCTTACCCTCTCCCCAGATACCAAGTCATCCCACTCTTCTGAGAAGACATACTTTAACAAATTTCTTAACATATACAATTTACTACTTCTTCTACTTTCACAAACTCTCAAATCATTTCTTCTTCACTTACTCAAATATTCTTTCTTTCAACCCTATAAAATATCAGTTAATATTATTATACTTGAAATATATATATATCTTGATATAAATAAACAAACTTTTTCTGATTACCTAATTTTCTCTTCAAACCAATATTCAATTTATTTTTCTTCTTCTATTTTGTCATTTACAATAGATTATTAATTTATTTATTCAAGTAGTTCATCAAAATTATAATATACCTTTCTATTCTGACTTACAACTTTAACTTTATTTTAACCTTTGTTAAAATCTCAATACATATAATAATCAAACCAATCAACTACAAAACAAACAAATAACTTTTTTTTCTTATACATATACTTAATATTACTCTTTTCTTATTATCTAGAATTCTATATTCTAACTACCTCTTTGTAAACTTTAATTACAGACAGCCAAAAAACATTAAGCTGCCAATACTTCTTGAATAAAAATATTTAGACTAAAAACTTGCCAAAAAAACAACAATACTATTATAAAATTGGCTTTAATTTTTAAGAAATAACAAATTTTGTTCATTACTATTCAATAGATATTCAAATTTGTTCATACTGTAATGCAAAGCTTTTTTCAACTAAAATACAAGAAATATATTGTAAATTAAGAAAAATTAAATAACAATTATTTATTGTTAAACAGCCTATACATTATATTATTTATAACTATTAATTGATTAATTCTAATTACTATTAATATATTGATTGCAGATGATGTTATGAAACTAAGAAATTTATATTTGAGACATAATAATATAGGAAAGAATTTTCAAACAAATATTAGAGCTTATAATAGTGCTTTTGTATTTGTCTCAATGAGTGTAAAATTGGATAAAAAACTTGCAAATAGTAAATAATTTTGGTGTTTAAAAATAAACTATATATAACTAAGTAATAACTTTTTGTAGATAAAGATGAAGTTTATACATTTTGAGTACAAGGTAGAATTTATCACTTAATTGGATCTTTGCTTCTAATAGATAGAATACTGAGATTTTTCAATTATACATTTATAATACTAAATTTAAAATGGCTAATAGACTTTCAGTTATACCTCAACTTTATCAAGATATTTTAGAATTTATCAAATTGATATTAGATTGGTTAATCCCTTTCATAGCCAATTTTCACTCTATATCATCCAGTATAAATATGACTGAACTTTGCTTGCTAATAAGAGCTGATCATAGCTTAGATCAATGTATATACAACAAACCAACAGCCTCACAAGTTGCTGCTGTCTAGATAGAAGTTAATAACTCTATAAAATACACAGAGCAAGATGTAGTTGTGTAATAATGAACTAAAGGTTTGCTAAGAGTTTTTAAGCTAAGTAGATTATATGATCAAATGCAATATGTACTACTTTTTTTTCAAGATGATTATAGTTGGTATCTGAATATATCACAATATGTATCACAAAAGAAAGTTACTGCCAGACAGTATTATGTATATAAATTGCATTTTTGAGAACCTCCTATCTTACTTTTTTTAGGTGGTCAACTTTTTCAACAATATGTTGTTGATAATTATATTAAAATAGAGCGTGCACGTCTAAATTATTTATTTTTTACACAAAATAAAATATGTAAAGAAGTATATCAAGGTTTACAAAATTCTTTTCGATCTGGATTAAATAATATAATGGAAATAGAATGCTATATTGTCTTATCTCATCTTTCATAGAAAGATCTCATAATATATACTAAAGATATCAAGATGCAATAGTGTTAGTACAAATATATAAAAGGCCAAATAATATGTAATTTTTGGTAGCCAGAAATTGTATCAGAACTAATAGCAATGCAAACCTCACAAGATAGACCAGATCTTACAAGTAAATTTTTTGGTTCTGTTTAGTTTTTTTGTAAACTTTATAATAAAATTAATAAATTTAAATTTCAAAATAATTTATTATCTAAAAAAAAATAAAAAATATAATCTTATTTGAATAGTTCTAATTATGATAATCATTTAATTATATAATATAGCTTGAATTTTTAAAGTAAAATTAGAAGAACTTAAAAAGGATCTTTATATCAAAGGCATTCTTGGCTTTATAATTGCATACATGCATGTAGTGAAGTTTCAAAAATGTGAACTTTTATATATGCATTTGTTATTAATATTTGATCTAAAAGACAAACTTCATAAAGCTAATAACTATAATATGCTTATATTTGTAGAAGTATCAGACCTGATAGAATAATCTAAGTTATATGAGACATTTATCTCTTTTATAATTTACAGTCTATGTGAATCTTTAAACCATAATACACCATGTATAAAAAAAGGCATATATGCAAAATATTATTCAAAAAATTTTATTCAAGAAATACAAGAAGGCAATAATTCTTATTCTTTATATTGCAGATATAATAATAATAATTAAAAATATAAAATTGGATAATTGCTGGGTTATTCTATATAACACCTACCTATCACTTAAATATAACTATTATATAAATATCAAATATGCTCTAGCATTAAGTTGGTCAAGTATTTATATAAATATATATATAAAGGATATGATTATGCATCCTTAGAAATCTAAAACAGTAATAAAATTAGTTAGTATTTGGATAGTTAGTAGATTTTAGCTTCAGAAGCATGCTGAAGAGTTTTTGGTTTCAACATGTCATATACATATCTCTCTGTTATTTGTTTACAAATTCATCTTCCTTACTAGCAAAATGTACTATTTTCAAAAAAATCTAATCTAAGCAGTATACTTGCAAATAAACAAAATCAAAAAGCTATATTAACTGAGTATTCTAAAATAAACAAAATTAACACAAAAGCAAGCAAATATACATATTTGAATTTTCGTGCAATTATATGTGGAATCAAATGGCTAAAAAATAGACAAAATGCAGCCAAGAAAAATAATAGAAAGGATATATACGATTACTCAATAGAAAAGAAATGCTATTACTTATGTTTATTTCTTAACAATATTAGGTAAGCTACTGTACTTCATTTAATAATTTAAAAATAGTTAATAGTTACTAGTATTTAATATTTAAAGAAAGTGTATTGAAACAAAACTTATAGAATTAGAACAAATGTACTGTGAAACTATGTACAAGGTAGCTTAGTTTCAAATACCTTCTGCATTGCGATAGCCAGTCGTTACAATATTGTTGTTTAGAGAACCAAGTAATATAAAATCTCCATATAATAACAATTATATATATATATTAAAAAACTTCGCAAA